AATATGTCATTTAACTTGACTTCAACTGATATTTATATATTATATCATAAATATATGTTCGACAAGTTTTAGATCATAAGTTTCAATTATTATTTTTAACTCCGTGTATAATGAAGTATTGTCACATAAATTAGGACGGAAGACAACATAATTTATCATACATATTTTGTGAAATCCACTAAATATGTAGATATATACTAAACTCCAAATATATCATCAAAATACATAAATTTTAAATTCTGAATCCGCTGGTATAACTAGTCACTTCTCACTATGATGATGTTGCATTTTGAAAATGAGTCCTCAAATTCTTCACATTGGGAGTAGTCATTTCTCACTATGATGATGTTGCATTTTGTAAACAAATTCCAAGAAGAATATGGTTCGGAGTGACCCTACTTCTTTTTTGAAAAGCAAAAGGATGCACCTTTTTCCATATATTGTTTTGCAGATATTGTCTTTTAAAGGAGAGACTTGACTTCATGGTACAAAAATTGTGTGTATAGTGATGACAGACTGTTGAAATTGACACAAAATTTTTGTGTGGGTGTGTGATATATTATGTATATAAATAAGTGTCTTTTGGTGAACCATTTTGCTTCATTGGTTTAGTAATAATTTAGTTAATTACTAATTGCTACCTAGACATGGCTAATGAATTCAAGCATTTGGTTTTGGTTAAGTTCAAAGGAGATGTGGTGGTGGAGGATATTCTAAAAGGGTTGGAAAAACTTGTCCAAGAAATGGATATTGTCAAGTCATTTGTTTGGTAAGTACTTGAATTACATATTTCTCATAGTTATTTTAATATTATGTCAAATCTATGTTGTTCGGATTCTTCAGCAATAAGTTGATAGGTGCATATCGGATTCCCTAAAAGTAGTCTTTTCTTGAAAGATCCGATATGAGTGTGGCGGAGTCACAGAGTTTAAGAAACGAACTTTTGGAACTTGTGATTTAAAACAAGTCATAGTTATTTGTTATTTAAATTTTGATATTTTTTTGAAACATAAAAAAAAGGAAACTATGTCACATAAAATTGTGACGAAAGGAGTTTTAAAAGTACACAATTGGCAGGAAGTCTAGTTGCTATGAATTCTATGTTGCTCAGACTTTTCAAAAATTGTTGTAGTACTCGTATTGGATAATTTGAAAATGTGTTACCTATGAAGGATCTTATACGCATCCACGACATTATTAAAGAATCCTAGCATAGATTATGATATAATGAATGTACTAGCTACATTTTTTTTTAGAGTTAATAATATAAAACCACACTTCATCTATCACTTTTTGGTGTGTTTTACACCTAACTATCAAAAAATTTCTTTTTTCTATCTGAACTATCATCATGTATGTATTAAAACACACCCCGAAGCTGACTATACCAACTATCATTTGTTCCATATTCCTATTTGGACTATCATCATCTACTCAACTCGTGCGGTGTGTTGCAATACATAATAGTGATAGTTCAGGTAGAAAAAGGAACAACTGATAGTAGTTGAAATGTGAAACTCGCAACAGAAACAAATGATAGTTCAGATTTGTTTTTTTGATCATTACATGGTTTTTGTGGCAGGGGAAAAGATGTTGAAAGTCATGAGATGCTTACACAAGGTTTCACTCATGCTATTATAATGACCTTCAATAGCAAAGAAGACTATCAAACCTTTACTAGTCACCCAAATCATGCTGGATTTTCAACCACTTTTGCCACTGTGATTGACAAGGCTGTGCTACTTGATTTCCCTGCTATTTCAGTCAAAGCTACTTAATATCATCAATTGTCATAAAAAAAAAAGAATAGTATTATGTGTGTTTCAATGTTTTATTATGGTTGTTTGATGTTCTAAGTGTGTGTTAAGTGAACATTTCTTTTTATCTTTGCTTCCAAAATTGTGGATGGTTTAAGACATATGTAATGTATCACTATGAAATAAAAACTTTCTTTTTTTTGGGAAAAATCTCTGTCTTTCAGATGAGCACGTTGTGATAACCTACTCATTATACAATAGGTCAGAAATTACATAGAGATGTAAATCGTATTAGACAAATCTCATGTAATGAGCTCACAACTGGCATACGAATGATGGATTTGATCTAGGTTTTCCACATGAGATATAATCCACCTCTGAACCACTCAACCATGCCCTTACGGGAGTGGAAAAAAAAACTTAATTAATACATATACTTCCCCCAAGAGAAAGTGATGGAATAGTTTGAATCCCTATACTCTTAACTAGAAATTTTGATTAATAAATATACTTCCCCAAGGGAGTGAAGAAAAAACTTAATTAATACATATACTCCCCCAAGAGAAAGTTTCACTATTATTTTATAAAGAAAAAAAATAATATATTTATTCAGGAAAGGGCATTTTTGACCGATTTAGTAATTATAGAGTATTTCTGAACTAAAGTATTGACTGTAAGGACATTTTTGAACCAAAGTATTGACGGTAAGGGCCTTTTTGTGCCAAACTATAAACGGAGGATATTTTTGTTCCTTTCACATAATTAAAAGACATTTTGACCCTTTTCTCAATATTGAATAATGTCAAGTTATATACACCACCAGTTTCACGATCAAGTCACCAAAGAATATCTACAAGCTTTGAGGTTCAAGGGTGTATATGTGTGAACTTTAAATTATCTTTGCTTCCAAAATGGTCGGGATTCATAAATTTTTAATTAAAGATTTTGAATTTAAATTTTAAAAATATAGAATTTTTTAGCTCCATAACAAAATTATACGTTATTAATAAATTTCAGATATTGATTAATTAAACATAAATTTTTCTGGTGAACAAGAAATGACAAATACACGTGAATGTCAAGTCGAATAAACTGTTTGGCCTACAAAGATACTCTTTTCCTCCAATTTTATTCAGTACACTTTTCTTTTTTAATTTACTTTTTAATAATTTAATTAAACCTTTTATTTTACACTTAAAAGAATTAATTTGTAATTATATAAATATTTACTATTTACTCCCCCTACTTGTTTTTCTAGATTGTTTCAAGTAATTATAATTTTTTTTCTTAAACTACGTAAAAGTTATGTATGTATCTAAATTATTTTTTTGAATTGCTTCCAATTCCTTCCTTTCCATGTGTGGTGTATATCCTAGCACCCCAAATCACAGTTGTCAATTCTTTCTTGAACTGTCCATTTTAAATATTCTATAGCTCATATTAAGAAAATATTTTTTAATAAAATACTTTTGAACATTTATTAGAGCCGGGTCGTAGATCAATTATCAAGGTTAATTTTCGAATCAAAAATTATTTTTCTAAAGAGTTTTTTTTTACTCTCAAGTCAAAAATAAAAGATATTTTCTGAAAAATATTTTTCATTCACCAAGTAAACATTAAAAAATATTTTCTACTCACCAACCAAACATGAGAAAATAAGTAGGAAATCCACTTGTTTTCCAAGAAAACATTTTCCTTCATACCAAACACACCCTTAATCTATGAAAAACTCATATATGTATCTAAACTAGAAAAAATAGCCCGTGTCAGCACGGGCCTAACATTATAAAAATTTATATACAAGATATTAGGATAAGTTATGCATAATTTATTTTTATAAATTCTATATACTTATTGATATTTTAATTAAATTTTAAATCTCAATTTTCTAAAAATATAATATAGTAGGGGAAGATTTTTCAATCACAATAAATTCTCTCCGAAGCGTAAGGAGTCTATTGAATTTTTCATTTTATTTTATATTATTTTTTTAGAAGAATATTATTTATATTTACTCATAATTTGAATTTAAAGATCATATTTGTCAATTATTGAATATCTTGAAATCAAAAAACCTATAAAATTATCTTACGATCCACCTTTATTTTACTCTATATTTGAAGAGTAAATCGAGAATGTTCTCTCCAATCATTCTCTATTTCATTCTCTATTCTTCATTTATAGAGAGGATTGAAGAATTACTATTCATAATCTTTATTTTACTTTTTGATTATTTTATAATTATTTCTACTATATAATATTTATAATTAACATATTATAAATCATATAAGACCATTAATTAAATCTTTAATATTCATAACTTTTTTAATGTAATATAACACTTTAAAAAATATTATTTAATATATACATTTTCAATCTGAATTAATAATATTTCATTTAAAAAAAATCTATTTAGGACCAATTCCAATCTCATCAATGGACAATGGCCCTAAAGTGTTTTATTAAAAGAAAAAGAAAAAAAAAAGGAAAAAGTTGAGGGACCACAGACTGACCATAAGTGTAGTGTAGTTCAATGGGTCCCATCACATTAAATGGCATCATCTGTAATTTAACAGAAAATGATGGGTCTTTTATGGAGCTGTTGATGTGGTCTAAGGAATAAAGCGTAAAACACAACCCCTTATAAGAAAACTAATCTTTAAAAATACCATTATACCCTTAAACTTTTATCTAATGCCAATAAGCTGACATGTTGAAACTCTCTCTCCTAATATATAAAAAAATTATCCTTTTTGAATTGCTTCCAATTCCTTGCTTTCCATGTGTGGTATATCCTAGCACCCCGGAAAAATACTTTTGAACATTAATAAGAATTAGTGTTTATTTAATTAATTTTTTTAAAAATGATAATATTAAAACAATAATTTGTGCTTGGTGAAGGTTCAAGATATGTTTGGGGGTGGGGGGCGGGGGGGGGGGGGGGGGGTTCTCAGCTCGAGGAAAACAACTTCTGCTACTACATGTGTATATATAAGCAAGTGACTTTTTTTTTATAATCGAAAAATTTTAATGAGACATGGTTCGAAACTTGATATATTTTTATAATAGCATAATTATATATTCAGTGTAATTCCGTAGATGAGGTATGGAGAGGGTAGTGTATACGCAACCTTAACCTTGTCTTGTAAAGGTAGAGAGACAATAAATCATTAACCACCAAATTATGCGTATATATAGATGACTTTTGGTGAAACATTTTGCATATTTTTTTTACTAGTAGAAATGGCTAATGAATTCAAAAATATGCTATTGGTGAAGTTTAAGCAAGATGTTGTAGAGGAAGATGTTCTAAAACAGATTGAACAACTTGTTAATGAAATTGATCTTATCAAGTCTTTTGTTTGGTAAGTCCTTCAATACCAAGTAACATTTTTCTTATAGGTTAATTTTTAGCCGATTCCGACTTGTTTGGAACTGAAGCGTAGTTGTTAGTGTTTATCTTGATGTATATTTGTCAAGTCAAGTTAACATTTTTCTTAATAGGTTCATTTTAGCCGATCCCAACTTATTTGGAACAGAAGTATAGTTGTCATTGTTCGTCTTGATGTATAGTCACACAATTTTTTTTGTGAATAATTGGTAAAAGAACTTGCTAATGAAATTGATGCTGTGAATGTCTTATGTTAGGTATAGTCCTTAAATACTAAGTAACATTTTTCTTATAGGTTCATTTTAGTTGATCCCGACTTGTTTGGAACTGAAGCTTAGTTGTTACTGTTCGTCTTGATGTATATATAGTCACATAGTTTTTTTTGTGATAATTGGTAAAACTACTATGGTTCTTTTAACTATTTTGACAGGGGAAAAGATACTGAAAGCAATGAAATGGTTACACAAGGTTATACTCATGCTATGATAATGACATTCAACAACAAAGAAGATTATGAAGCTTGTGTTGTGAAAGAAGTCGAATTTTCGGCTGTTTTTGTCAATGTAGTTGAAAAGATTTTGGTACTGAATTTCCCTGCTGTTTGTGTCAAAGCTTCTTCTTGAAGATTCCGAGCAACATAAATGTGCCGCCTTTGATGTTCTTTAAGGCTATTTGAGGTTTCATGTGTTTTGAATGTGTACATTGTACACATTTAGTTGTATCAATCTCTATGAAGTGTCTTGCAATAATATTTGATGAACTTGTGTCCTTTTTCTAATGTCTTGTTGCTAATGTTGATTAGCAAAAAGATAACTTAAACTACAAAACAAATCTAACTTTTGACTTTTCATAACCTATGTGTCTGCTATATTTGTTGCTAATGAAAATGATAGCCCGGTGAACGAAGAATCTCACGTTCACACAAGGTTCATGTGATGTAGATATAATTTACTCTGACACAAGTATTAGTAGTTGATTTTATAGCTCGAAATCCGTGATTAGTAGACTACACAAACACAACTTTATTGTTGCTCCAGCACCCCAACGGGATGTAATGTAGACAATCTTACCTTGATTCCACGTCTTGAAAACCATGAACTGTAGGTCACACAGAGATAACTTTACCGTTGCTCCAAAACTCTCTTTCCCTTGTGCTGTTCCTAATCTGAAAACAAAATGGAGGACTTTATTAGATTAAAATAAGAAAAAAAGGTGATTATATTATATTCTAAAGTTTAATGATGCTGAAAGAATATAATATGTAACAAAAGATAGAATTTTTAACCTGCAAATTGAAAAAGTTGATTCTTTGATTCCTCTTCTTTACAACCTTTCATCTATATTTTTTTTTTTGCATATTCTCATTACCATTCTTGAAGTGTAAAAAAGATCAAATCTTGAATCAAGTAAGCAAAAAAACATGGAAATCTTGATCAAGAAAGTTCATTTTCTAGTCTTTTTGATCATTTTTATGAATTTTTCCTTTTCAAGAACCATTTCTCAAGAATCACAATCAAAACAAATCTATTGTGGAAACATAAAGATTGAAGATCCATTTGTTTCTCAAAACTCAAAAAATTCATCTTTCTTGAAGGACCTTGTCCTTTGTAGATCAAACACTTTATACTTCAAAACTTCTCTTGGCCTTTTCCAAATTTCTTCAATTGATTACAACAACAAACTTTTAACTATTTCTCATCCTTCTTTTTCTTGTTTGATGATTGATGATGTTCAAGATTTGGGAAATGAATTCCATCCTAAAGAAATGAAATGTTCACATTATAGAAGAGTTTATAAAAGTAGTACTTATGATCAAGATGGGAATAATGTGAAATTTGAGTTAGGGACAAGGATATCTTGGGATATTGATCATGTACCAAATCCTTGTGATGAGTGTAGAAAACCACATGGTAATTGTGGAGTTGGATTGAGATGTCTTTGCCATTTAACAGAATGTAGTAAGTTTACACATTTAGCCACTTAGCTCCAAAAATATTTATAGTCCCTAGCTAATATACATGTTTTATACACTAAATATACATATATTATACATCTATCGGCTATTTTTTTGGGTGGGAGGTAGTTAAGTTAGTTTCACTTTTGTTTTAACCATCAAATCATTGTGTTTTTTATGCAGAGGTGGAGGTTTCTGTTGGTGCAATTAAGAGATCTAGTGGTACTATGCTCTTCTCTTTGCTTTTCTTGATTGTACTTTTGGATCATCTTGAAGGGGTTTTAATGTAGTTAAATTCTTCACTCTCGTGTGTAAAAACAAGATGTGTTTACTTAACTTATTTGCTATGAGAGAGTGAAAAATTGTCATGAAAACTATCAAGATGTATTTACTTACTTGCTATGCCAAAGAATGAGAATTCTTCATGAAGACTTTGAAGATGTACATTGTACTATATGAAATTATGTTGTTATGTTGTACTAAAAAGTATGTTGCTCGGACTCTCCAAAAATGTCACTAGGTGCACGTCAAATCCCTCAAAAATAAGCACATTTTTGGAGGATTCGACACAGGTGTGGATTCATTTATATAGAGTCAGTGCAACATAGCTAAATAGTGTGATGGAGATCTATCTTGCTCAGACTCTTTAAAAATGTCAATAGATTTGTGTCAGATCCTCCGAAAAGTTATTTTGGAGGACTTGGCATAGGTGCAAGACTAGACATTAGCTAAAAAAGTGTGTGATGAAGATTTCCTAGATACTTCTTGTTTCAATATAAGTCACAATGAAAATTACTAGTGGTGGGGTGCATTTTCCACTTAATTTGTATGAGCATGTGCTAAACTTCACTACTTGGAACACCTTATGGAACAAGTAGGGATATGATTTACAGCCCTTTTTGGTGAATGCATTGTTGAATTTAAGCTTTTCATCATGCTGTAAAGTTATGTCATTGTTTGCCTAAAGTTATATGAATCCACACTTTTCTTTTTATAGATATATGTGCCAAAAGTTCACGGGAGGTTTGTCCAAATACCATATAAAGAGATAAATTTGCCTCCCACCCTCCAGTGTGGGACTCAACGGTGGGATTCAATACCCTAGGAGGCTAGGACACCCAAAATTGGATATCTCGAGTGTGGACAATATAAGATGGAGCCCAACATATATCAGGTGAAACAAGAATTGTTTGGGCCTTACTCTAATACTATCTCGGATCTAACTCAATCTAAAAGCTTGCTCATAAGACAGAGAATTTGTCCAACCAACCAATATGGTACTCAACAATGTGCATGTGGTAGGGACCAAAATTTGAGGCAACCAAAATGCAATATCATGTCTTGTGATCATAGAAGAATTGTCTTGTTGAGAGGTTGAAAACTAGAGAATTTATTGAGACAAATAACACAAGATGCATTAGTTTAAACCAGTGAAAAGATGATAATATATTCTTGTTTAAATTGGTTCTTTGATTGAGTGAAGTACAAAAAATATACAAATATATATTTACCAATCAAATAACATGATTGTAAGTAAAATCTCTATAAGAAGTAATAAATTGATAACCTGATAAAAACGGTAACTAACCAACCATAACACGTTAAACGATGTGTAGAAAAATAAAAGAAACAAAATTTGGTGGGAATAATGATGAGTACTTAGTTAAAGATATGGAGCTAGAGGGGCGCAGAGGGTTCATCTAAATCTCTTTTGGTATATACAAGGTCAAAAACAGTTATATATATATATATATATATATATATATATATATATGTTGAATCATCCTGGTTTCTTCGTACATTTACTTCTTGATTCCCTTAACTAAAAATTCCAATTCGATTGTTGGTGGTAATTCATGACCTAACAAAAAACATTTTCTTGTTGTTTAATTACAAAATCAAACTTAAAAAATAGTAGTATATGGAATTATAGGGAGAAACTTTTATCTATTTTTGTCAATTAATCTATTTGGGCTTTCTAAAGCATCCCTATGAGTCAATTTGATATAAATAACACACTGACTGATTTACACAACAAAAAATTAAATTACTTTTGTTGCCTTTTATTTATAAGTTAATCAATTTCTCAAAATTAGATCAAAATTAATATTCAACCCATTGGTCTAAAAAGTGGCCAACTTCTAAATATAAGGCCACAAAATAAGAAAAATTAACCAAAATAATTGTCCACTCAATTGATTAAATTAAAAATAGGCAACATATGTATAATATCTGTATAATCAATATATAATAAATTTATCTGGCTATTTGTATAAAAATCCCCTAAATTAAAATAACGATCTATTATGAATAACACGTCTAAATTGACCATACTTGAAATTATTCCTAACCCAACTCGTTCAAGTACTAAATTTAAATTCTAACTTCACCTATGTTATCGATGCCAAACCGCATACGGTACAAGAGAGAAATAATTAATAACTCTACCAAATGATGTTATTATTATTTCTTGATTCATTACCAAGCTTATTTTATTTCTGTCTTTACTATTAGGAATTTAATTTCATCTTTTCTTTTTCTTCTCCCTCTCCTCTTTATTGGAGTTGATAGTTTCTTCTTTTTTTTATTAGTTTTGGATATGGGTGAATTTTTATATACAATACTAATGTATTCGGTGTAATTTATATAAGTCCAATATGAATGGAATAAATTATACACAAATTTTACAATATTTGTATTCAATGTTTAAATCAAACTGATAATGCAAAAGTACTCCCACTTGGTATATATAATTAAATTTTGAAATAAATTTGTGAAAAGACGGATAAATAATACTCGGTAATTAATGATTGGTCAAATTTAATATATATGTCCTCGAAAATAAGAAGTTTTGTTCCGAGAAGGATAATATCAATCACTCTACATTAAAAATGATCTTTAGCGATAATTAATTAACGATAATAGCTTAACTGTCGCTAAATATATATATTTTGAGCGGCTATTTGCATTCTTTGTATATGTCCCTAAAGCTTTTAGTGACATTGGATCTAATGACACTTAACTAATTTCAGTAAAGATTTTAACACTCTTTGTTAATGTGTATATAAATTGTCGCTAAAAGTTATTTTTGTTGTAACGCCAGTACCTTGACACCCATCTGAACCATATGTTAGGTTTATCTTATAAATCTGGTGTTCGGTATCTATTTTGAAGTTTCCATTCGTGTATATATATATATTCAGAAAGATGTGTTGGATGTTTACTAAGAAACTCATCAAATATTTATAATATTTAACAATTAACTCATTATTATTAATACAGATTAATTTGAAATTATTGTAAAAATTCAGAAATTCAACTAATCTGAATTTGCATCGTGTAATATCATTAAAGGCAACATCCAAATATAGAAGTCGAGTAGTATTTTAAGACAACATCTACATGTTGAAATAGTGTGAAAATGAAAAAATTTCAGCAGTGGGACAATTATTCCAGCAGTATTGAAGGTGAAACAACATAAAGATAAGATGACACACAATAAAATTTGTCTTGGTGGCCCATATTGGTATGATAGTAGTATTTATTAATTAGGTGTTTAAGAAAAATAGAAGAATTGCATAAAATGGAAATAACAATTCACAACCAACTTTGATAAATTGATGTGTTCATTCACTTATCAAAGTTGATATGTATATATTAATTAGTATATGAGGCTATTTTTTAGTACCAATTTGAATTTATCATGAATTGATTAGTTTTACGTAGATCGTCACCAAATCACAATCTTCCTTATTTATTTGAATTTGAGGCAGTAATGTTAGCAAGCTGACACTGACGAAGTTCAAAAGAAGCCACTATGGTGAGTTATATGAATCGATTTACAAGTTCAATGCCAATGGTTTGGTTTCTAGTGGCAATATGCAGCGAACCCATGTATATATCATCTGCTAATATACGACGAAGATGTTAAAAAGGGATGAGGTAAATCTAAATAATACACATGAAAGAAGTTGTCATAGCCTAAGCCAATAACTCTCGCGGATTCATTTAATTGCATGATTTGTTCTTCAAATGGATTGATTTTTAATTTTTGTCCATAAAAATCAGACTTATGTCTAGCGGGGCATACGTTCCTTAAGGGCATGAGGCATGACTACTTGTGGAATATTGTAATGTGAAAATATAAATTTATGTCCGACAAAAAAAAGTTATTTACTACGAGGGGTAAAAATTTAAGACCAACATGAAATAGGGAGAAAAGTTCAAATGACCTGATTCATTTGTCCCTTGGGCTACATTATCATTGAGCCCAAGAACAAACTTACCATGTGAACTTGCCTTAAAAAACACTTCAATTCCTATTTCATTTTGACGTAGAATTTATCTAAGGTGTCATATGCACTTTTTCTTCAGAACCTATCAGTTCTTCTCTTTGTCCCACCCTCATCAGCACGTCATTTGTCATGAACGTCACATAGCCAATCTCGACTTGTTTAAAATTGAGATGTAACAATCATTCTAGTGGGTACCAATTTGAATATAGGGTTCATGAAAAAAAAATGCAATTTTCATGTACTTTTCTTCTTATCAAGAACAGACTGTCTGATGTATATATATAATTACAAGTTGTAATTTAATGAAGAGAATGCCCCATTTTTAGACATGGTCCACCCACCCCCGTTTGTCTCTAGGAGTTTTTTTGTTTGTTTTCTACTCAGTGTTCGGTATCCACATTGAAACTAGATTAAATTTGGATTTGCGCCGAAAAGTTCCAGGGGTAAAATGCTCTCTAACAAAAGTGACGTTATACTAAAGAGACTTGAACCCCGAGACCTCTTGATTAAGAATAAATGAGTACTTACCACTCTACTACGAGTTTTGTTGGTTGTCTCTAGGAGTTGTTGTGTACTAATATGCCAGTGAAACTATAGTCAGTATTGTTCAGAGTAAACTACAAAAACTTGTGATCCTTCATTATTATTACTGCTGGCTACGTACAGTACCACTTCTTCTTTTTTCATATTAAATTTTAGTGTATCTACACATAATTTAATATTGTCATGGTATTTCCAAAACAACACTCTTTCAAGTTGTTCCATTTTAGCATATTCAAATTTTAAAGTTTATGAATTTTTAGCAATCGAGTGAAATTGAACCATCGTCAATGAGGACAACAAAGTTTAAGTGGGTTCTATTTCTGTCATTGCATCAAAAGCCTACTTAGTCATTGTATTCTCAAAACATACTTCTTATGATAATTGTGAGTGATGACAGAGTCAAAATTTTCACTCGAGTGAATTAAAATATAGAGAAGTAAAAGCACATTAATTAAAAAAGTTAAAGGAATTCAATATTACTATATATATAATAGTTTTGCCTTATATATACAATTTAATTTTTCGATAAAAAAAATTAAAAGAACCTTTGCACCCCTAGTTCCATCCCTAACCATGAGAGTCTTGATATATCCTTGAACTGTTTTCTTAAAAATTTATGGTGACAAGTGTCAAGTCGCGAATTTCTACACTAATCGAACGAGTATTGATTTACTCTATCCAATAATTTTATAAATTTAGTAGAATTTGAACTATAATCTCTCATAATAACATCTAACATCTATAGGTGTTTGTTTCAATCAAATTATTTTCCCGATATACGATCAATGAATAAAACTTTCCTTTCCCCACCAAGGTCGGACTATAATTTCGCTTATTTATTCAGCATAAATTTTGGATCCGATCATGTATTTGTGTTAATAGATTCTAGATTATCTAATATTTATTCAAAATCGAATAATCTACCTTTTCTAGAAATCGAAATTCATTATCACAAAATCCTAACTCCGCCTCACATTTTGTTCGAACTTAAAGGAAATCATTATCAATAGATTCTAAAAGCCCTACTTGTCTTTTTAAAGCTAATAGCACTCACAACTTCAAATCAATTGGAAAATCCAAAAGCACAAACTAAACAACAATCTTGCATTCAAATTTTATACTATTGGTATAAGATGCCTTCTTTTCTCCTTTTTTTCTTCTTTTTATCTAACACATCCACTTTGATAAATTCAAGAAAAAGGAGTATTCCCCCAAAGTAGTTTTAAATTTTTAGAATTAATTAAATGGTGAAACGGTTAATAATTCTAAAAAATTATATATATTTTTTTAGCAAAGATTAAAAACAAAAAGCTAAATATGCTTAGTCAGATATTAAAATTTATCAATAATTGAAAGATCAAAAACTCTATTAACTCTTCAAACTATACTACATACTTGAAAAAAATAAAAATTCTTCAAGTTACATTCATTCTAACTAGGTCAATCAAAAGAATAAGTCTTTCTCCCTTCTTCAATTTTTTTTTCTTTTTCTTTCATGAGAGATTTAATGTAAATTCAAACAAATCTATAAGTTAAAATAAGAAATCTAAACCAAAAAAAGAATTGGGTTTAGAGGGTAAAAAAACAGAAACTATCTAATAATTAAATATAATAAAAGAGAAGAAATTAAACACCTTTCAATTATGAGCTCTTACACTATTTAAAATTGTAGTGCGATGAATAGAATTCTTCTTTCCATAATTAGAAATCTCATGTTCTTTCTCATGTTCAAATCCAGAGAATAGAATCAGATACCAACAACGCAAAAATGAGTATCGAACACCAGATGAGAAAAAAACCAGAAGAAATCATGTGGTCTTACATGCATAGATCATGAATGAGAACTCAACTTTATCTTGATTCTTGTGCGTCAACTTGTCTTTATCTTCTAACCACAATCTACTACTCTCCAATCCACTTCTTGTCCTAAACATAAAAACAGCACAACCAGAGTTTGTTGAATTAAAGAACCAATCATGAACATCCCACATAAGATCCACAAACAAACCATCCAAGAAAATACTTTGATTTCCCCTAAAATTCCATTGTAACCTCTTTACTTTAATCACCATCTTCTTATCAATACAAATTGATAAAACAGGATAATTATATTGTTGATGAATATTTTTTCCTTCATTTTCACCCCTACAACTTATCAAAATATCATGTTTTGACCCATTCTCACAAAATTGTGCCTTTGTTGAATAAATTGTGTTGCCTGAAAAATGTTCTTGTCTTGACACTAAACTAAATTTTGCCATTGAATTGCAATAATTCTTGAATTTTTTTTCTTCAATGTCACCAAGACTTAGTACAATTTCAGAATCAAATGTAACAACAACATAGTACTTATCAATTGGTTCTGGACCAAACATGTTGTTGTACCTAGCATCACATAAATCCCAAAAAACTTCAACTTTTTTATGATCATCATAATCATAATCAAATTCAATTGATTTCTTCCCCTTTTTTTTCTTCGAAATCGCGCTAATTTTGAAGGAATTTGAAGGATTATCACCAAATTGTATGTACAAAGTTTGTGACACATTTGTTTTGGACCATGAAACTATGATCAACAAGTGTTTTTTATTGGATAAAATAACATTGTACAAACATGTAACATTGTTTTGTGTTGAAGGAGTAGTTGAAGAATTTTGAGGAAAACAAGAAGTGTTTGAATAATTAGAACAAGAAGTAGTTTGTATTGCATTTTCACTAAAACAAGAAGCAAAATCTCTCATTTTCTTGAAAATAAAAAAATTGGGAACTAAGAGAAAAATGAAGAGAGTGTTTTTATTTTTATTTTTTGGAATTATTCTAAATGGGAAGTTTCAGAGGAAAATGAAGTATAAATTCACTTCTCTGACAAGCACATGTAAAGTATTAAATGCAATTTGTTTTTGTTTTTTGTTTTTTTGTTTTATTATTTTTTTGTTTTTTTTTTCTCTCTTTCTTGCACACTTGAAACTTATGAGAAGGAAGAATGTCAAGAAGTTTATATTTCTTTAATTTAAGGCATGATATTATTTTTTATTCCTCAGTTATTGATAAATTTTAATTTCTTCTTTATTTTTAATTCTTTAGGTAGAAAATTGTGTTATATTTAGATTTTTTAAAAAATATATAAATAACAATGACTTGCATATCGAGGATCTCATAAGTAGAGTTTTGAAAGGTTAGTGTGTACTCAATTTTACCTCTATTTGATAAAGGTGGAGAGTTTGTTTCCGATAGATTTTTGGCTAAAGTAAAGCATAATAATAATAATAATAATAATAATAATAATAATAATAATAATAATAATAATAATAATAAGTATGGACAGAAAGTTATAGTAGTGAAACAATCATGTTGATCATAATGGAGAACGGAACAGCAACAATAAACCATAACACATGATAATTGAAAGTAGAGAAGATAACAAGTACTAATTCAAGAAGTTTGCAAATATTCACAAGCAGAAAAAATGATTAAAAAAAATCAAGTAATTTATAGCTAAATATGATTAATCATATATAATAAAATCAAAATTTATCGATAATTGAGGGATGAAAAATGTTGTTAGCCCTTAATTTATTATTTGTCTGCCAGTTCATCTGAGATACTACTATCAATTAAAAAATGAATTTAAAAAATTGTGATTATTTTTTATAGTATATGGGATTTAATAACTATATACTATATTCAAGTACATTGCTAATGAAAGTTTGACCAAGTAGAATTATTTATATTTAAATTTGGTATAAATTGCATATAAGTTTCTATTTTATTCAGTTTCTTGTAACCTTGGAATTGATGATTGATAAGACAATTAATTAAGATATAATAATTCATATACATTTAATTCTAAGTTTCTAAGAAGTTATCTGTCTAGGTAGGAATATATAAAACTCTAGTATAGATAATCCCAAACTCTATTAAGCAAAAAAAAATTGTGATTCAAAACTCATTAACTTAATTGAAATTAATTTCTACTTAATATTTAGCTATAAAATATTTCTTAATAATGACTTATAATCACCTTATACTTAACTTAAAAAAAAAACAAATCACGTAGAATTTGAACTCTTCTACTTTATCTCTCAAGAGTCGTTAGATAGAGACGTAGAGTTATAAAAAGACTATTGAATAGGGTGAATTAAAATGTTAAAACGAGTTATATTGATATTATTCCTTATTCATTGTTTGATTTAATGCATTCAATGACAGCTCTATCTTTAATCATGTTTATTCATGTATTAATAATTCTGATATTACTAATATTATGATTTGTTATATCATAAGCTAAGAATCCTATCAAACACGTAATTAAACCGTAACATTATTGATATCTATATTATTTTTTCTGATACATCTTACCAAACGACCCCTCGAAAATAAAAAGTGAATGGGTGGACTAAAAAGAATTAAAAGGATATAGTGGAAATGGTCCTACAAAATTAAAACCAAACTACTATCGACCCACCAACTTCTATCCCTAAAATAGTTACTACTAAAAAATGAATTGATTATAACACTTCTGGTCCCTCTTAAATATTTTTTAAAAATTTCTACATTTGCAACTATTATTATTTTTGTTCCATTATTAATATGTTAAAATTGATATACTGAGAATTTAATAGCAATAGCCAATAAGCAATTTTTTTTTTATGTTGGTATGGATAAATTTATTGTAGGTAGAAGAAAGAAACATTAAATTCTTTTGTAACCCCCATGAATCTATTAAATTTTAGATGAATAAAGTCCTTTCATATCACTCTAGTCTTCAACCCTCCATACCACCCCACCCCCCAACAAATCTCCTAGGATTTCATAATGTTAAAAAAGGGTTTTGTTTATATTTATCGTTATCGAAGTAGCTCGAGTTTATCCTTGTAGGTTAATGATAACAACAGAGGTAGCGAGACATTTTTAAATAAAAGATAAAATTATTCACATTGTTTAAGGTCAAATTCGACCTTTCACTAAAATAATATAATTGAAAGCGGGCAAAAAGATATTAAAATGTTAATTTTGCACAATAAAAGTAATAATATTAGAAAGAAAAAAAAACTTAGAACATCAAGGATTTTAGAAAGAATTAAGTTTATTAATAAATTGGTGAAAAATATATTCATTACAAAAGAGAAAAAAGAAAGTTTAAAAGGGAAAGTGAAGATTTAATTTAAATTTTTAATAGAGGGATTTGATAAGGTAAAAAAAAAGCTGCATAGTTTAAGAAAGAAGCTAAATTTGTAATGATAAAAGTGTTTAAAGGTGGGGGGGAAAATAAGCTAAAGAAAAAGGAAAAGAAAAGGCTAATATTAGTCATATTTAAATAAAAATAAAATAAAATTGTAAGTGTAATGATTAATCTTTTAAACCTATTATTAGATTCTAATCATAATTACTTTTCATGTTTTTCATAAAACGAGATGAATTAATCGAGGTACATGAAAAAACAAGTATTTCGCGGAACTCACATGATAAGTGTCTGATTGTGTGCTCTAGATATGTCCAATAGACGAATTTCAAGATTGAACCAAAACTATTGTTCTATGACTCAAGGCTTATGTCTTGCACCTACTAAGTATCGTTATATAAAACATGGTTAATTTGTTCATAATAGAAATCATCGCATCCTCTTCCTCTTCCTCGAAACTATCTTCTTATCTCTTACCTCTCCTCTCATCGTATTTAAAGTCTTTTATCACTTAAAATTTCATTATAGAACAAAGACAAAAAAAATAAATTAAAAAGGTAGAATAATACGAAATTGTGATCGTAAAAAAAGGGTATTTTCAAATGAATATGCAATCGAAATTATACTACATAGATATTAGTCGAATGTCAATTAAAAAAAGATAAAATCAAGTATTGAATATCATATTAGTCGGACTTCAAGATAAACATCGGAAATAAAAACACAAAAGGATAGAAGAACAACTAGAGCTAAAGAATAATGGACCCCAAAATTGTCAGTTACAAGGTATTGCCCTACCACCATGAACAACAAGAATATAATGCACTAGAAAAAAAAATAGTACTAAAAAATAATATACTCAAAAAATGGTTTGAAATGGGAATGAAGAGAATCAAATCTATCCAATGAATTATTTTGTTGTTGATTTACTAGACATAGCATAGGGTCCAAGAATTTATATTTTTTTTTGTTCCCCAATCGATGCCTAGTACCTGCTTTAAAGTCTGATTAATTTAAATTCATGTCAGAAAATTTCAATTGAAAGTGAAGCGTTTTCTATCAAAGACAAATTCATATTAAGGGCTTAAATTCGAAATCTTTGATTGAAGTCAGAGGAGCATACCAACTAGTCAATGTGACCTCCTCTTACACCATGACTTTCAGTTGGGGCAGATGAGATCCTATATCGATATTTGATTTTCATTTTAAGGTTTGATTATACTTAAAGTTCCTATTGGAAAGTCTCACGTTGAAAAATAAAATATCAAACTCTATACTTTTGATTTAAAAACTAGTAATGTTATATTCATTGCAATTTAAATTTGGATTTAATTTATATATAGTGATCGTTTATAAAACTTTTATAATATTAGTATATTTTAACGTGTTATAATAATCTATGTAACTTTTTTGGGTAAATAATTAGGATTAATTATTATGATCAATTGCTTGTTAATTACTATTAAAGTCATCTTATCTGATGATGTAAAAAAATCTTCCCATTAATGTCAGTGTTCAAATTAAAGTCTTTATAAAAAAAAAATAAAATATATATATATATATATAACTAGCATAAAATAACAAATGGAAGACATTAATAAGTAACATAAACGGTTTTAATTAATGTAAATAAATAAATACCTAATCAAAATGTAAGCCATCACAACATGAAGAGTGTGTTGAATGTACTAGAACTTTGCAACAAATAATTTAATTTAAAGATTGGAAAGATCTAGAAGTTTTTTTAAAAGAAAAAAAAATCAATTATGTTAGTCTATGGTAGAGAGGAGACTGGTGTGTTCGGTTTCAAAAAATATTTTTCAATTTTCTCATAATCGAAAAGTTAAAATTAAAAAACTAAATTTCTTAAAAATAAAGAAAATGAATTCCTTAAACGCATTCCAGATTGAATGTCCTCCTCCACCCTCTAATAGTATACCTCATCTTCATCTCTACTCCATAACTCTTATCTCTCATCTCCCACCCCACATATGACATGATAAAAATTATATATAAGAAAAATAGTAGACATTCGATAAAATAATTAAGATATGTACATATAAACTTAATATCACTATTATAAAAAAATCAAAATAAAACACAATTATTGTACTTATTTTCCTTTATTTCCGTATACTTCATCTATCCCTAATTACATGTTAATATTTGAATTAGCCCACATATTAAGAAAATAATAATTGACATAGTGAGTTTATCATTTTAGCTCTATTAATTATGAAGTTGATGAATTAAAAATTTAAGATTTTTTAAAAGTTCTACCTTTTTCAAAGTATTTAATTGAAAGTATAATAAGTCAAAAAAATTGTCCTTTCTTAATTTGTCAAAATAGACAAATAAAAAAAAGAAAATTGGATAAATAATTAGGGGAAAAGGGTCCGAAAAATATCAGAACTTTGATCGAAATTGTTGTAACAATCCCAAACTTCGAGCAGGAGCTATTATCCCATGCACTATTTAAATAGTGCAGGGGTAATAGGTCGTGCCCAAAATTTGAAATTGTTACAGTATTTTCAATCAAAATTTAAATATATTTCAGAC